TGTGTACATACGTGCACGCGTGTGTACGTGTGGTGTGAGTGCGGAGTGTGTGGATTGTGTGCGTCCAAAGTTATACCCGATCATTAAAAATTACTCTCTCTATAGCATAGTTTTTAAGGCGGTAAAGCGAGGTGCGGCGCTCCACCCCCTTCGAGATGCCTAGGCGGATTAGGCACGCGGCGAGGCGACGCTATATACATACCCTAACCTTCCATAGGACAGCACAATCAGAGAGGCACATATCACAATGACAGATAAATAAATTAACCATCTGTCCATCTCTTATGCAGCAAAGTTCAGACAGACAAGCACATATTCACACCAATTAACCAATTAGGCAACCACAGGGGTATATACTAGCAGAAAGGAGCACAGCTATAAGCTATTTGTTCCTACATAGCACCACAATATAACAGAAAGTAGCAGAGCAGAGCAGAGCACGAGTGCAAGAAGCAGAGCAGAGAAAGAAGGGGAGGAAAAGCAAAGCCACAGTGGAAAGAGGGGTGGAGGATTGGAGGAAGAACAGAGGAAGGAGAGGCCAAGAGGGGAGGGCATAACTACAGAGTGGAGCGAGTGATGGCGATTGGGCCGGAGGCGGCGAAGAAGTCCCGAGACACAATCGCAGATGGGGTTGAGTCATGGTAGGATTCACGGCCATGGACGGGCGGAATCGCGGTTGTGGATTTGGGGCGTGAGTCGCGGACGCTGATGGGACATGAGTCACGGACTCAGGGTCGCAGGCACCGCCGGTCCGCCGGCGGCCGCCGCGCTCTTCTCTCCCCCTCTTGCCTCCCTTTCCCTCCCACTCTTGAGTCTCGACTGGCACGAGTTAGATGGATGGGTAGTCTTTGGTCCGAGGTATGCACGCGCTGCTCCCTCATTCCCGCACACACCTCCTTTTTCCCGCATGGCAAGAATGCGTCAGCTCTTTCCCTCAAGCAGACGCGCTTTTACTCACACGACATCCGCCGCCTCGATGGATTCAATGCCTAGGCGACGCTGTATGCGAGCGGTATGAGGTGAGCACGATGCCCTAATTGAAAAAGCGATAGGACGCCTCTCTATAGTTAATTAGCATAAATAATGCTTATGTATTATATGCAATTTTAATTGTCAATTTATCAGCAGTCACCAGATGTTATGTTCCTGAAATGAACCGTGTGTACTTTTCAAATGATCAATTTTTTATTTCAAGATTTCAGTATCTCTCGTTCTATGTCATCTTTTCTCTACGATGCAGTACAATGCCACTGTAAAGTTTCCACAATTTCTCTTAAAATACAAGCTATCCAACTAGACACTGCACTATTACACAACAATAAAATACAAACCCCACTACCATATTTCTCCCAACATGCAAACTATCCCACTAGACAATATACTATTAAAATCTACTAGCACGTGCAATTGTAATATCCACATTAGCAAGACACATAACATTTTATTGTCTATGCACCATGCTATACAATTCACTAATTTGTAATTCTCGAAGCAACACGCGAGGTATGCTTCTAGTTATTGATAGTGACTATGTCCCTTTATCTATTTTGTAGCAAAACAGTCATGATCAGTGACCGTGTTTATTTATCATCACCATACTATCCAATCCTATTACGTTTCGCTTGCAGTAGCGATCTTCCTATCTTCCTTTGGATTTGATTTGGCACATCTTAGGCCCCTTTGAATTGAACATTTTTTTCTTAAATTCTAAATTTATATTTTTATAAAATTAAACTGACTTTTGTACGAATCTTGTAAAATCCATGCGTTTCAAAGGGGGTCTTATTATTTTCGTGGAGTTCAATGTCTCCAAAATAACGATAATAATAGAACGTGGGCATCTTTCCCACCTGGGTCGCGAGCGATCGTGCCGAAGAAAAAGAAGGCACGCATCGAATCACTTCCTCCGACCCTCGCCATTCCCACACCACACTCCTAGATCTCCCCCTCCACCACGCCCCTCTCGTGTCGCTGCGATGGCCAATGAGACCCTGGACCAGCCGCCGGACGCGGCCCCGTCTCCAGCTCCAGTGATGCCGCCGGCCCCCGCCACCTCGTCCCCGGCGGCACTGCTCTGCCCGCAGTGGGAGGCGTTCGAGCATGGTCTCCTTCCCATCCCAAGCTCATCCTCCCCCATGCTATCTTCCCGGAGGGCACACTGGCGCAGACCCTCGCTCAACTCAAGGAAAAGCTCGCTGCCTCGGCCCCCGACGAGCGCGTGCCCGCCGCGGCCTTAGCGAGGCACTACAGATCCCGCAGGAGTAGGCACTAGCTCCCGGGCTCAAGCAAGCCGCTAACCCATCCCTACCCCCGCTGGTGGCGCCCTCCCAAGATCTGGCAGCGTCTCCTCTCCCTCGACCGACGGCGGGCATGGCGGGGGCATGCGCGGCGCGCACCATCCAGCGAGCCTGCACTACCATAGTTGCCCACCAGGTAGGTTATGGTCGTGCAGCGATGATGTGTTTTTCAAGTGTTTCAGGATGTTTTTTTAGACATATTGCAAGCCCATGTTTCAAGTATTTCAGTTGTTTCAAATGTATGTTTCAATTGTTTCATGTAGATATTGTAAAAGTAGATTGTGATGTTGCATATGTTACAATGTTTGTACACGTATGTTGCAAACGTTTGTTCCCAATGGTTTATCTGTTTTTCATATGTTTATTGCAAGTGTGTTTATCTGGATGTTGCATATGTTTCACTCATTTGTTGCAAGTGTTTTATCTGGATGTTACGTATGTGTTATAATGGTTTTTAAGTGTATCATGTGTTTTTTTCAAGTGTTTCAGACGCATGTTCAAACGTTTTAACTATATTCATACGTATGTTGCAAGTGTTGTATCTAGATGTTGCATATGTTGTACTGGCTATACACGTATGTTGCAAATATATGTTTTAAATGTTTTAACTATTTGAAACATATATTGCAAGTGTTTTAGTTGGATGTTGTATATGTTGCAGTGCCCATATACATATGTCCTAGCTTCTGACCCCTGGCTCCACAAACGATCGTTCGGATGCGCTGCTGGCGCCGGATTGTCGTGCGCTAGATGAGTGTCGCCAAAATCTCATATAACTAAAAAGAACAAAGTGTGGATATTTTTTGGTGCGACATTTATTTTGATTCGTCCGTCTGCTCACGCCTGCGATCCCACGACATCTCTCGCATGTTACAGGTTAATCTTAATTACTGATTGATCATGCCATTCTCCTTGATTGAATATTACCTGTCATGTGATAGAGGAATCACGGCAAAATAGAAAGTAGAAAATTATTGTGCTATCCATATACACATTGCATGCACTAGCATACATGGCAACGAGCAAAAGAAAAGAGAATTAACACAGAAGGAAAGAGAATTAAGATAAAAGGAACCTCTTTGCACCTCTTGACTATCTGAATAAGGACAAGTTAGCACTGCAAAGGCTCAGAAAAAGCTGTTGAGAAAGCCAAGGTTGAGTTTTCCTCCACTATGCATACTAAAACCTATGTCCCCGTTTATCATTGCCGATGCTTTTGATGCAAAGCAATTCAACATTACCATGATTAAATATAAGTTTAAGTCTCTTGTAAACAATCTCATAGAGGGACTCTCTTCCTTTATGTGATCTGCCTCAAGGATATTGGCAGGACGATGGACCCATATTGGAATGTCGCATAAAAAAGTGTCGATGTTTTGTCCACGATTTATTTCCCATGAATACATGCGGGTACTATGATAACACTAACTACACCAAATAAAAGATTAGAGAGAAATTGCATTGCCTCCAAAAGAATTTATTTATTAAGTTCTTTGGACTCTATAGGTAGTTTTGAAATATCTATTTGCATGTCTTACCTCGTATCCTAATTCAAAATTTTGTAGTTTAATTAGAATATTTAGGTGATTGTATATATATAATATTCAATACAAGAATAATCTATGCATGATCTTCTTGAAAGATTTCTGCAGTGTAAAGACATCTTCGTTTTTCATGCATGCCCGTGCTAACGCTACAGTAAAAACAAAACTCATGCTCAAAGTCAAAGAGATAAATTATGGATGCTTAAATTTTGTCATCCATTATCTACCGGCGTGCCTATAAAATAGACTGAATAAATAATTAAATATAGATAAAAAACTAAATTAATAAAAAGATCATTGCAAGACATCAGTCATCTCATAGCTTCGGACAATATCGCAAAGCTACTAAAAACTGTAACCGTGTCATCACCTTAAATATTGTCTAGATAAATGAATTACAATGAAAGAAATGGATATCAGAGATTTCTTTCTGCCAATATAAAATATTATCTTAGCCGCATCACAGAAAGATCTATAAAGTAGAGTTTGTGAGCTTACGACGCCGCGCACTACGTGACTGTGTAAAATTCATAAACTTTGCTCTTTGGATTAAATGTCACTTTAACGTTGGTATTTAATTTTTACAATATTATTATTTTATCGTGCGGTCCATATGTTTTTAGTATAAATTGTTAGTTATCTCATAGCAACGCACGGACACGCTACCAGTAATTGAATAGTTAAAGAGTAGGCGTGATCGGATGGGCCTAATTGCAATCAGGCCCATCTGTCAGCCCAAGGGCTTGATCGTAATCAGGCCCACCTGCCTGTCAGCCCCTCAATTCCCTCTGCAGCTACCTCCACGTCACTCGCGCAATTCGTCGAACTCGAACACTGCCATGGCAGCCGCCGCTGCCGACGACGACGTCAAGCTAGAATCCTTCCTCCAATGGCTCCAGGTCGCTCCCTCTCCCATTCCCATATCCCGTCCAATCTCCCCCTTAAAACCCTAAACCCCGACCCCTCCCTTTCCGCTGCAGGCCAACGGCGCCGACCTCCGTGGCTGCACGATCCGCGCATGCGGCGGCAAGAGCTTTGGCGTCTTCTCCACCGCCGCCCCCGAGCCGGGCGCCAACGACGGTAACGCTCCTCTCCTCTCCTCTCCCCCGAATTGACGAGGCTCATCCGGGCGTTGCGCCGGTGCGGTGCAGGGGTGGCGATGGTGGTGCCGCTCGACCTCGCCATCACGCCGATGCGGGTGCTGCAGGACCCACTCGTCGGCCTGCGGTGCCGCGCGCTTTTCGAGGAGGGAGGCGTCGACGACCGCCTCCTCGTCATGCTCTTCCTCATGGCCGAGCACCGACGCCCTGGCTCACTCTGGAAGCCGTAAGACCGCAATCTGCAACCGAATTCCCCTTGCCCCTCGCACATGGAAATAATTTGAACCGTAGCTGAAGTGGTGGGTCACTGCAATCGCAGATATTTGGATATGCTTCCGACCACCTTCGGGAGCTCCCTTTGGTTTACTGAGGAAGAGCTTGCCGAACTGGAAGGGACGACTCTGCACCGGGCTACGGTGATCCAGGTTCATCACTGTTGTTGTTAGACTTCTGCTTGGGGATCTTGGGTGGTAAAGACAATCAGTCGTTTTGGGATTTTGTTTCAGAGGAAGTCATTGCAATCCTCATTTGATGAGAAGGTTAAAGGACTCGTTGAGGAGCTTTTACATGTCGATGAATCAGCAAGGTTTGGATTTAGTTTATAAGGTGTTTGAAATTCACTTCTAGTGTGGTTTGTGGTTACCATTATGGTTTATTGACTTTTGGAGTCTATTTTGATCTGAATAGCCTTTTGCAGCTAGCCCTTACTACACTTGCAGATCTTATGTTATTGACCTAATTGCATCTCTCATGATTTTATATTTGTTTCAAAATGTACTTAAGACCCATCAATTCACAAATTTACATCACCCAAATAATGACATACCTATGTATGCTCTCATGGCCTCATGTTGAAATTTGAATTTCACTCTGATTGTGCTGTAATAATGCTGGTGATTCTTCTAACTCTTTTATGCTGCATCACTTCTTATGCGCAAATACTGGCCTGTTTTTGTGCAACCAAGGAACTGGCGCTAGGGCCTACCAACCTAGCGATTGCATCTAATTCTGCTTAGCATCAAATTATCAGTTAGGCGTTTCTAAAATATTGTCAGATATTCAGCTTTTTAGGTGCATGGATATCTATTTATTAGGTGCCCGGTCATTGTTTTTGTCTCATTGATTGAGTTGTTAGGAGCCTGAAAACTGACAGAATGTTGCATCATGCTTAAGCACATAAATATTAACTTCATTCCATATCACTTCTCTTCTGCCATCTCCTCAAGTAAAGCCAGTGCCATCTGGCCCTTTTTTCTTGAAAGGTTCATTGTTATTGCTTGATACATAAAGTATTATGTTTAAGCAAGAAAAAAGATTATTCTCTCTCTATTGTACTCTGTCATACGTCCAATGGAGGGCCCAGGAGAAGACCCAGCCCACCCAGGCCGGCATCGCGACAAGGCCTCAGGCGCCCTGTGGGGCCCAAAGCAGACCCGGTGCGAACAGTATCCGAGGGTACTGTAGCACCGCGGGTACTGTTCGCCCGCGGTATAGCGCCGCCATCAGGAGATTGATTAGATAGGGGTTTGGTTTGTTTAGGAAAGGAGGATCCATATCTATAAGGACTTGCTCATTAGATTACTTGGGTACAAGTCTTTCCAGGACTATAAGTAGAGGGGCTATGTACGCCCTGTTCGCTTGGCTTATAAACCGTACTTTTTCAGCCAACGAACAGTATTTTTCTCTCACAGCAAATCAGCCAACAGTACTTTCAGCCATGGCTTATCAGCCAAGCGAACAGGGCAGTAATCATTGCGATCAGGAAAGAACAGCCTAAGGGCTTCCCTGTCCCTCTCCCCTCTCCCTCTCTCCAGCGCCTCCCTCCCCTCTCTCCCTGCGCCATCTCCTTCTCTTCTCTCCCCAAACCCTAGCCGTCACCACCATAGCCGCTGCTACCCCCCAGCCCTAGCACGCAGCCCCCTCCCCCGGGAGGACCCTTACACCTGGTATCCGGAGACCAGATCGATCCGATGGCCACCACCACCAAGATCGTCGACATGGAGACAGTCTGCAACAACGTCCGCGAAATCACCGATCAGTGGAAGAAGATGTTTCACGACGAGTTCTTCGCTCGCCTCAAAAACGGGTCCTCTATCCCCTCTACTTATAGTCATGGGAAGACTTGTATCCTAAGTAATCTAATGAGGGAAGTCCTTATAGATATGGATCTTCCTTTCCTAAACAAACCAAACCCCTATATAATCAATCTCCTGATAGCAGAGACATACCGCGGCCAAACAGTACCCGTGGAGCTACAGTACCCGCGGGTACTGTTCACACCGGGTCTGCTTTGGGCCCGACAGGGCGCCTGAGGCCTTGTTGCGATGCCGACCTGGGTGGGCCGGGTCCTCTCCTGGGCCCTCCATCGGACGTATGACATACTCTCAAGTAAATTGGTGTCTCCTGGCCTCTCTCTCTGAAACTAAGATTCATTACATTGCTTGTAGCATGTTTGCCGAGAAATGTACTTCTTTTGATCTGCTTGAAACTTTCCATTCGTTAAATGCTAATACTATCAAAACTGTTTTGCAGCTCAATTGAAGTGTTGTTTGAGGACTTCCTTTGGTATGTAATAACTCTTGTTTGTACTAAAGTTAGAAACGACATACTGTAAACTTCACTTGATATCATTTTACCATCTTGATTGATCATGCCATTATGTGGAGTGTGGACAACGCTGTGTTAATGTAATGTTGTAAACAGTACATGGGATTGGAGAATCAAGAGAAGAAGACAATCCTGAAATGTTGTAATCAAGAAGAAACAGAAGAATCTTTTGTGGTTATTTTTTGTTTATGATAGTGTAGATTAATTAGGTATCATCTGTTACAATTGTATAACAATTAGGAGTTCATTTTCACCATGATTAGTAGTGTTGCATAGCTATACTATTTTACCTGCAAATCTACCATGCAATTGGATGTTCAGTATGGCCCACGTGCATAAATGAGTTAGCCACACGAAAAAACAATAGCTGAACCAAATAAGGCATGACATGGTATTACCGTATTAGTCATTCAAAAAAAGTTAACATGTTTCAATATCTAGTATCGAGTACCTGCTTCCTTTTCCTGTGGTCATGGTGAAAATTTGATCGGTGTTAAGGAATCTGTAATTCTTACTTGATTAAAGTGATGGTGTCAAGGACTAATTCTTTCCACAAGTGTACATAATCGAAAGCTTAATGAAACTGCCATATAGACATCCCAATTTTATTATCTCCAGCTAATTTTCTTTCTAATCAGCAGTATGAGTCTTTGACAGGGCAAACTCAATCTTCTGGACTCGAGCACTGAACATACCACTGCCTCATTCTTATGTTTTTCCGGTTCATGTGGCGATGAACAAATCGGAACCGGCAATGATGCTTGCTATTCTGGCCCCCCTGCCCAACAGGTCAATTTCAAACCTTTCATCCTAGCACTGGTATCATAATTGAAACTGAATTCAACATTGTGTCATGGTCACAAATCTTACAATTTGGAACGGAGGGAGTAGGTAAATGTACTATCCCCACCATCAAATGAGCCTCAGGATTGTTGCAGACTTTTAAAATTGAAACTGAATTCAACATTGTGTCATGGTCACAAATCTTGAGTCTCGAGCCATTTCAGACTTTGGGGGATTGGTATCATAATTGTACCTGTATGCTCAAGTGGGTGTCCTTTTCCTAACATAGAAATAGTTAAAGAAACTTCGTGAGGCTCTGGTATACCATGGGCATCATTTCTACTCGTGCTTTCTGGCATCTTCACTATTAATTTTAAGGTTTTCTTCATCCATATGTTCTTGTGCCAAAATACTTGCTCGTTTTTTTTGGCAGGAAATTGACATTACAGCTAAGGATCATAGTGCTGATGAGAATTCTAAATCAAGTAACACAGAGTCAATTTGGGTTGAGGGCCTTGTCCCAGGAATTGATTTCTGCAATCATAGTAAGGGTTCTATTATTTAATTCATCAACTATAGTCTGACAAAGTATTGCCTGTTTTTTGACAAGAAAGTAAACATGTATGATGTATCTGTTAGTCTAGCATCACTCTTTCCCTGTTATAAGCTAGTTTGATTGTATTCACTAGATGTAAAGGCACTGGCAACATGGGAAGTTGATTCTGTGGGAAATGTTACTGGAATTCCTGCTTCAATGTACCTCTTGCTTGGTAACTTCTATGATCCAACCTTCTTTTTGTATAGTTCACCACATGATAAATGAACTTTGTGGCTTTCCTTTAAGCTAATATTTTCAGTAAGATAATTATTCCCGTTATGATTAATTGTATGTATTCGTTTCTTTCTGAAGCTGATAAAAGTTCTGCTGAGGCTGGAGCAGAGATCTGCATAAACTATGGCAACAAAGGAAATGAGGTATTACTCACAAAAATATGTGTAGATCTAGTGTTATTAGTTTACCGCTAATGTTTTGTTCTTTTTAATTTTAGTTTTCTGTTTTTTATTATAGTTGCCGTTGTATGACTTGGATCACTCTCTTTGTCTCACATATTCTTGTTTAGGCTCTCTATCACACTTTTTGTAGTATACTAATACGGCACCATGATACTTGTGTGATTGCCTCTTGTGGAACAATAGAAACCCTTACAAGAAATTTCTTTAGATCTGTATTCCTAGGCCTTAGTTACAATTTTGGCAAAGAAATCCAGAAAACAATCTAATGTTTCCTGGTCTTGACGATGCATAATCTAAAAGGAAACAAAATCAAATGAGGGGGATGCACTGCTTGAAGATTATGTGGCTTTTTTTATCCCTGGGGTCTGGTTATTTGATTTGAGTGGCACATGGATTCATATATCCTTAGTTCCTTATGGATTTACTTGTAGTGCAAATGCTGAATTATTGCTCTAGATTTCACACTGATCATACTTAGAGGTGAAAAGACGGTTTTGTTTTGTGCAGTTCCATGTTTAATAGTTTAACAACTAGAATAGCCTTACTGATGAAGTTGTACTTTGTGTACTTACAGGAACTACTGTACCTCTATGGATTTGTGGTTGACAACAATCCTGATGATTATCTCATGGTAACCCTCATAATGATGTATGTGCTAAAAGATAATAATTTAGAATTTTGCCATTTATCTTTTGTAGCCAATAAATAAAGAAAGGTCAGAATTTGGACTATTAAACTGACCAAGTAAATGTTTGGCTTAAAAATCTGTGGTACTAATCAGTTTACCATCCTGTGATATTTGGAAACCTAACTCTATTGCTCTTTGGAGCAACCAAAGGAGGAACACTTGCAGTGGAAAGTTGAAAGAAAAGGATGAAGTCATTATTCATTACTAATTCCTTTCTCATTTATTGCTGAGTCAATAGAGCTAGGATTTGAAATTTCATAGAATAGCATATCTGTGTCTCGTCGTTTGTACAAGTTACTCAGAAACCGTACAATTATTCGATTGGCTGTTTGAAAGACTTCATGTGTTACAGGATTAAATTGTTAAGATTCAGTATTTTTCCCTCTCTTGGCATACTTACATAAGATGTATCTAATAAAGTAAGCTCTGGTTACTTGCTAAGTGCAGGTTCATTATCCTTTGGAAGCGCTTAGACAGATCCAGTCTGCTGATACAAAAATACAGCTACTAGAGATGCAGGTACTGCCAAGGGATTAGCCCTTTTCCACCCTATTCATGCATTGCTTCTATCATTATATTAAGGTGCTACCTGTACATGCCATGTTTTGGGAATCGCCTACTAGTAATAGGTACTTTGTGCTTATTAATTACCTTACATATCGCTTTTGATTGTTAATTTGTACAAAGATTTCAAAATTTGTCCCGATCAGGACAGCTCAAGATTATGATGACTGCACTAACCAGATCAAGCCCTCTAAGCATTCAATACCTCCATGAATCTCACTTTGTATGTCTTCTGTATTTTGCAGAAGGGCGAATTGAGATGTCTCCTACCCAGAAGATTGCTTGATAATGGATTTTTTGGTATCTGTTCCAGTGAAGATAAGGATAGCAAGAAAAATACTAGTCCATTTTCAAGTTTTAGTTGGAGTGGTCAACGCAAAGTTCCATCATATCTTCACAAAAATGTTTTCCCTCAGGAATTTATGAGTACTCTACGGACGATTGCCATGCAAGAACATGAGCTTGAACAAGTTGCTTCTTTACTTGGAGAGGTTAGCACTTTTTACGGTGTATTTTAAGCCAAGAGTTGACTCCTGAAGCTATAATCTCATGATTTAGATTTTGACTTTATTCTTAAGGCGTCATACTACATTTTCTGGAGACGCAGTGATCAGCGTTTCGTTCGCTACGTCTGAATTGATCTGTTGATAACTGTATACTGAAAAGGAGTAGGAGACTAGTGACTGTGCACGTAAGAATCTTTTCTTAGCCATCTATTGTACCAAAATGGCAGAATTCCATGTAGCGTGATTTAGGCATGCTTTGTTAGCTGACATCCTCCTCCTATGACTCAACTTGGAGTCCTTAGGTTTCAAAATCTTAAAACTAACTAGCAGGGGTGCTTTCACACTCTTGTAATGTGTGCAGCTACATAATTTGCTGCATATGCCCCTGTTTTTTCAGCAGCGCCAGATGATAGTTATTTCATGTCGTTTGCATGGAGGCACTAGTTTTTGGCATCACATCCATGATCCATGTCATGAATGCTGCATTCATGAATAGGAGCTTTACTGGCTATGCATGCCTTAAAAAAGTATTCATGAAGCAATTGTGATCTCAAATTTCATTTCCTGATCTAACGTCAGAATTTAGATGAAGATTAACTTTTGTTTTCAGCATTATTCTATGTGGCCTATTTGACAACTGATGACTACGCTTATATTTGAAGTGCTCAAAAAATTTATTTGGATGCAATGCATCTAAACTTGAAAGTATTATGCTGCAAATTGATTCTAGGGCCTTTGCTGAATTTGTTCTTGCTAGGTTGGATCTAGTGAAGATAGAGAAATATCTGATGCAGAGATCCAAAGTGCTATTTGGGAGGTCTGCGGTGATCAGGGTGCACTGGGTTTGCTTGTGGATCTTCTTGGGGTCAAGTAATCACTTTTATCTTCCTATTGATGTATTTTGGATCATATAGCCGTCTTTGGTATAGCATCAAGAATAACTCATAGATCATCACTCCATCCATTTTGCAAGAATGGCTGAACTTGAAGAGGGCTCTGGAACAGAAGCATCTGACACTGAACTGCTTGAGCAGGTTGATTCCATTCAGTCAGAAGACTACGCGAGGTGGGCAGATCAATTTTTGGCTTTTCTCAAGAGTTTTTTTTTGTTTTATTTTCCTTATCTTAAATTCACATCCATGCATGGTACTATACTTATTTCCTGCAATGTACTATGGGGCACTATTGAAAATGGTTATTTTAGGATACAACATGAATAGCCCCAATATCCAAGATGTGCATGGAGCTAACATATTTTAGAGCACGTCTTTTGTTTATCAACCTCATGTTTTATCGTAATGATATGCAAACCATTTTCTTTATTCTCGCAGTGAAAGTGATGAGAAGCACAAAAAGAAGTCAAAAATAAATTACCGTTCATGTATAGTGTACCGAAGAGGGCAAAAGCAGCTGGCAAGGTTGTTCCTGAGGGAGGCAGAGTATCTTCTGGAGCTTTCTGCAAAAGAACAGACCTAAGAAACTTATCTGGTATAAATTTTCTTCTCTCTATTTTCCAGTAAAATTTCTAAGGTTTTATACAGTTGTAGCTGTGGAAGTAATGTCCACGTAAGTGTAGATATTTCAGTACAGAGACATGGTAGTTTCAGTCAATTTACAGCTGCAATGTTTTAAAAATCATATTCCACGGCATAGTTTGCAGTGTAAGTCATTTTGTACCTACAATAGCAAAGCATAATTTCTATGCTCCCCAAGCTTGCCTTGGATTATTCAAGTGTTTCCTCTGCAATGTTTGGCCATGCCTGATTTGATTAGAAGTTACTCCCGAATCACATGAAAAAAGAGTGTACAGAAAGGCATCAGATGGCTTAAAAAACACTTGCAGTGATAAAGGTTGCAATATATTTTCTAACTTGTTTACGATCGTGGCATTGGCAGGCCTGCATCAGGTCTTGAATTGCAGAGTTGTCAAACTAGTGCTGGTGGCCACATCCGATGGAGGAATGGCCAAAAGAGGCACCTGGCTGTGTTAGGAGTTTCTGATGGGGTTTGACCTAACCTGTACCCTCTCCTCGGATCCTTCGGGCAGGAGATTCTTTGCCAGGGGTAGCATTCACACACTTACTATGTTGATCTTCTTCGTTTGGTTCCCTTGCGAAAGCACTTCATTCCAGAGGAGTACGTATGCACTTCCAGAGGATTCTGGATGCAAAAGACCGAAGCATGTTCGTGGCTTTATGGGGTCTTCGTATCTTCGTTTCCTGCTTGGATATATGGTTTTGGTCTGACAACTGACTGGTCCTTGGCTTCGTCTAGATTGGTTTTGATCTGACAACTGAATGGTCCTGTATAATGGTTCACCTGCGCTGCATATACTGTATGTATTTTTGTGTTTTCAAGTAAAAAAAAGGGTGTACCCAGAGCTCCCGCTCTGTGCGGGGTCTGGGAAGGGTGTTAGTGGCAAGCCTTACCCTCGCATGTGCAATACGAGGAGACCACGACTCGAACCTGGGATCTTTCGGTCACAGACGGTAAGACTCTACTGCTTGAACAGGCCCGCCCTTCCAAGTAAACATTATATAAATGCCATAGGTATGAGTACGTAAGTACTTGAGCTCGAGCTGCCTTCTACTCAATAGAACCTTGCGTCACATTGCTACCGCCGTGGGCTTCTTTGATTTCTTGGGCCCTTGTTATCCCATTTCTTGTCCTTTCGTGTTTTTTTTGTCTGTGGATGCCAAGAAATAAAGTAGATATATTCATTCTAGATATATATCTAGTCTCTTTGCTGTAGGTAGTCATGTGTCACGCAGGTAGAGTTCCTGAATGGTATCAGATCAGGACATAATTACTGGTCTTATATGTTTAATATCTAGCTTGTGACCTTTTCTGCATGCCTAAAATTATTTGAATGTGATAGTTTAGCCGGTAGAAGTCACGTTGAGAATTGGAGCAATAGTTAAAAGCATTGAAATCAGTAAGTACAATGCTGCATCACTTCATTAACTGCATATGAGTTTCAGAGTTTGGCTTTCAAATATGTAGTTTGTAGCACTTTTTTTTTCAAACAAGTGGTCAAGCTAAAGCACTATAATAACATGCACTGCCTTTATGATGCACTAATAAGAAGTAAAAATAAAGAAATCCACCTAATAGTTTGCCACAATTGATATTTATACCATCAAATAAATTTGAACATCAGGTATAAGAAATGCTATTTGTTTTGTTATATAATTGACTAATTCTTAAAGTGTAATTACCTAATATCTATAAAACAAAGGCTTCATCTACAAAAACTGAATTTTCTACTGATTACGTACCATGGGATGGATCTCGATCCAGTTGTGTATGAAAAAAAAAACAGCAACAATAAATTATTTTCACTTGAAACAAAGATAATGTATACATCCAACAAAGTAATCCACAGATAGTATGATTATTAAGGGACCCCATTGACTTCACCTTTAGCAATGCAAGAAGCTCTAAAAGTAATAATTTGTTGTATAAAGAAACCTGAACAGCCTATAGAGTTGAAAGCTATCCTGGTGAACAGTAAAAAGAAAGAAAGAAAATGCCCTGAGTTAGCATATTGCTTAGAACTGAACTGTAACACGACTCAACTAATCTGTATTTCTTTACAACCATTTATTCTCTGTATTCATCATCAGACACCTTAGAGATCACTTTCTGTTCTGGTTATGGACTGCATTAAACTGAAGTTGGTAGAGAAGAGAAGGTAAATGAAGCTGACAAAAAGAATTTCAAAATGTAAAGAGAGGTTAAATGAGAATTAAGACACACTGGTATGAGTAAGATACACCGATATAATCAGTGTTTACTTCATCGCTTGCCATAGGGTAGTGGAATCTGCAATGTGACCAAGCTTCAATGGAGCGACACTGAACGTGAGTCGTGCTGCATCATTGGCTTGCCCCCTTTGCTAGCTGCCCTTGCGTGGAGCCGGGGCATGGAGCACAAAATTGATCATCACCGGTTGCGTGCTAGAAGCTTTATTAGGCTATACTATGGAAACTTTATTATCAGATAAATAGAAGTAGTATTCCAAAGTCTAAATTAGGATATGAAATCCATGTGGCAAAAACTGAAGTTGAATCAGCAAATTGAACTCCACAGGACATCTGAATCTCCAACACATTTTTCGTGATGCCCTCCTTGTTCTGCTACCTGTGCCCTGTTCTTCAGCGATACTTTTCAGCATACGAACAATATTTTCCTTTCGCAACGAATCATTGTGAGCAGCAGCCTAGACCAAATTTCAGCGAAACGGACAGGGACGTAGCTCTTCAGGATCACATGCAATCGGAGGCCATGTTGGTCTGTGGAGGCACCTAGCTCTCCCGTGCGACTCTTGCCAGTGGAGCACGCTACTCCGCCTTCCTGTCAGTGTCATGTGTCATCCCACTCCGCTCCGGGTCCGGGGACGAGTCCGGCCTGGCGGCCTCGCCGTTCGCTTCATCCGTCCCGTGCTTCCCCTTCCTACATCGAGTACCGGCGAGCATGGCGGACGCTCCAGACTGCGGTGGATTCGCGAGCGGAGCGCTCTGGTCCCGAGCCGCCGCCCGCCGCATGAGCGCGCGCCCAGCCTGAGCCGCCGCCACCTCCGCACACCATGCACGTGCGCGCCCAGCAGGAGCCGCCGCCGCACGCCGTTCCCATGCGCGGACACGCTGGCTGACTGTGCCTCGCTTCCCTCCGAGTCACCTCCGCTGCATCTGCATTCTCAGCGGCAGCCGGCTAAGGTTGGGCTTGGCCCCGTCCCGGCGTACTGACGCGCAGCGCCGGCGACTCCTCCTTTGTCCTTTCCTTTCCCGCTGGGGCTGGGCCGATGGTCGGCCCTCGCGACGGCCTTAAGAGATTCACTAATAAGCTGAACTGTAAAGTATCCCATAGAATAGAACCACGGATGGAGCTTCTTTGGATCACACACAGGGAATAGACTTCGCTGGTAATAATGCCTATTTATTTCATACAACATGGATGCCCTCCACTGTTCTGAGCTGAAGAGTCATATCTGCTGCAATTGCACAATTTTGAGTAAGCAGATTTGCACCCACTGACCCACATTGCAAGTTATCAAACTTCTCGTGCAAACTGTGAGCAAGGCTAACATTGGTGTTGCTAAGACTTAAGGTTTGCCACCTGTCTTCAGTTTGAAACAGCAACTACAAACTGCCACCTGTCTTAGTTTGAAACAGGAACTACACACTGATTGTCCCATGAAGGACTCCCCATCAGGAACTACAGCTAAGCCATCAAGGATGCTCCATCAGGAACTATACACTTATCGCGTTAAATGTCATAGGAAAACATAATTCAAAAACTATACAATCAAAATTTTGTTCAACAACTCAAAATCAATTTGCAACATTTTTTTTTGCAAGTGCTAACAATCACACCAAATTTTGTTCGACGCGAAAGCAATCTATACAGGAGATATCCTACAACATTGTAGTTGGACACTTGACGATTCAACCAAACTGATAATTCACTTCTGCTCCCTCCCATGTCAACTTAGGTGTGTCTGTAACGCTAACCAAGGATTTCAGTGTCAGCGCTGAATCTTCCTGCTAGGGCAGGCTTTCTCAGCGATCACAAGATTTCTCCTTGGCAAAGCTTTGCAGTTTCTTGGTATTGAAATCAAGGTGTTCTTGGTCTGCACCGAATGTGAAATAAGCAGTTGTTAGTCATATGTACAAGCAGTTGAGGAACTGGCTGAATATAAATAGTTGGACTAAATAGTCACACAAGTTTCTTTGTTCGAACAAAGGAAAACATGCTTCACCATTTTTTTTCTTGGATTTTCACAAAAATGAAGGAAATATGAAATAGTTTGGATGCCAGAAGAGTCGGCAAAAACAAATAACAGTGTCAGCACAGAGTTCTTTACGTGCTACTCATTTTAACAGTTTGTGTGCAAAAAAGCTGCCAAGAAAATGAAAGAGCTACCGCCCAAGCATGATCTACATGAAATTCAAAATGAACTATAAATTCTTGCTCCATATATACCTAATGGACCTACATCACTAATAAATTCAAATGCACTGATTCTTGTGGGGCACGATTCCTGAGCATACCTTTCTCCAGAACAGTGTGTACCACGTGAAATGGGACATGAGCAAAAACTTCAGGTCTAGGAAACATTAGCAAGTATGTTTTTTTGGGTCCGTGATCTCCACAAGTCGGGTTTATCTCCTTTATCAGCTGCTTGCCAGGGTTTCCTTCCATCTCTTTCATTATGACCTCAAAGGGAGATGGCACACCGCTTTTGGTTGTCCTAGCTTGTTTCCGGAGGGTTGTCAGGGCCTATGTTTGCATGTGTTATCATTCTACACCAACTGATAGTAACAGAGAACGACAAATCAGAAGAGTGATATTGTTAGAGGAGTCAAGGGCCTATTGGACCTTAGGCCCTGTTTGGTTGGGCTTTTGGCTTTGGCTTTTTTTTCAAAAGCCAAAAGCCCAATCAAAGGGACTGCTTTTGGAGGGTGTTTTTTCAG